AGAGTGTGACTTTTGACTTTTGAAGTATGAATGTTTGCTTTCTTTGAACAGTATGATTGTGCAAATAAAATTTGATGCAAATTATTGCATGAGACAGCAGGATATGTTGGGAAATTGGAATACTTATGCTTCAATATTTATGTTTATTGTGGCGATTAAGACAAGCCAACTAATTTCATGCCCAAATAAATACCAGCATTTCTATCTAGTATAAATTACCACAACATTTTCAAGGTTTCACATTCTACTCTGTATTATCAACGTATGCGTGGCCGAAACTGTCTCAAAATAAAATTTTGATCTACAAGAAATTCTAAACAAAGACAATTCTAAGTACACAGAAGAAAAATATGATCCAATAAAAGCACTACGGCTGCATATATGCAAATGCAAACATATCTAACCTACAACATGAATCTGGAATAGAAAAACCTGTGGTCCTTTTTTGCTTTCTGTCGAATTGCATGACACGGCAATCAGAAACAAATCTCCTAAAGTATTGATGCTGTTTCCTAAGGATAGAACCCAGCCATAGTTCTTTCACTAAACGTGTGTAGGCATAAAATGGGAGGGCGAGTTAAAAGGCCAAACCTGAAGAACACTGACGTCCAGGTAACTGAGCTGAGGGCAGCCTCTGGCAACAGCTATTATTCCAGCATCCCCAATTTGGTAGCAGCCACTTACATTCAAATATTGTAATGAACAGCCTTGGCCAATTGATATCAGTGCCTCGTCCCCTATTCTGGTGATCAATCAGCACCGTATATCAGATTTACGAGAGTCAAAAGACAACTAATGTGTATTATATTAAAATGCCACCAAAAAATTAATAATAGACAAAATACAATCATCAAATGTGTATTATATTAAAATGGCAAAAGTAAAATTGGTATTTGCTGGAGTGATGTCATGTTTATCTAGAATGCAGCAAATAAGTAATGAAAATTTTATTTTTGACAACTTCCATATTCCAAAAAAAATCTCATTTTGTGCACAAAAAATTCATCCACCATGAATATTATCAGTTAGATACAAGTCTTGAATCACCATGATTATCTAAATTATAAATTTTAAATATATGTCATGACTTAAACTTAAAATATATCAGCGGATTCAACTGATTGGATCAAAGAAAGTATATTATTGGTATACATGATAAGAAGATGCAAGACGCGAGGATCACCAACCTGTCACAGAATCGTAGGCTGAGATCTGTGAGAAATTTACAGTTTTGGCCAACAGCAATTATCCCTCTATTTCCAACCTATTAACCATGGAATGGAAACTATAATTAGAACGAAGAAAAATAATGTGAGGATTAAACTGTTATTACTTGTTAACATACAGTAGAATGATTAACTAAATAGATAATATAACATTCACCAGTTTTCTAACAAATATTCTGCAATGTGGTTCATAAGTGAAAGAATAATATGAATTTACGCAACAATTTTGAATCACTGTGTTTTAATTAGGTACCAGAAGACATTGAAATAAGATAATAGCTCCATATGTAGGAATTGTATTTCTCTTTGATCCAACAGGATATTTTCGGAGGTGGATTCTAGATTCCGAACCAGATAATATCATAATTAACTGGGAACGTTATATTTCATTCAATTAAGGCTACATGCAGCTTCTTTCAAGAAGGCAGTAAATCATCTGAAAAATGCAAACTCACCATACAATTCTCACCAGGTTGCATCGGCAAAATGGATGCAGACAGATTTTGAAATAAAATACAATCAAATTACAGAAGTCCATGATAAGAGACTTTAAAAATACTGGGTGTAGTAGTTTCTATTCTTTACCGAGGTAAAAATCATGGGAGTAACCAAAGCAACAAGTTAAAAAATGCATAGAAGGTTATTATTCAAGAACCAAGATAGCTAATAACAGATAATAGTTAGTAAAGAAGATAACAAAGGGATTTTCACAGCCAAGCAACAAGAACCTAGGGAAAAAAGGAAAATGAAAGAGAGAAAGTAGAGAGAATACCTCATAACATCGACGAATATGGAGCTTCCTTAGGTTCTTACACCCTCTAGCTATACCGCATATGGAGTCATCCCCAACAGCTGAGCAATCTACCAAGTGAAGAGCTTGCAAGAATTTGCATCCTTTACCAATTTCACTAAGTCCATCATTTGCTATCCTCTGACAGTATAGCAAGGCTAATTCTGAAAGCCGGCTGCAGGCATAGTTTATCAGATCAGGAATTAGAGGTATTTACTAATGGCAAATCAGGAGCTATGATTTTACGAAGATTAATTTTCAGTAATGCGACAAGGAAACTGTAGATGAGCAAACTTATATGAAATATAATAAAGCAAGCCCAGGTGGGCGGTCAAACACTTACGCGCAATTTTTCCCAATGGACTTCAGTCCATCAGTTCCAACATTGTGGCAGCCATTTACTTCAATATGCATAAGCTCTGAGCAACCAGCAGTTATAGAATCTAAACCCTTGTTGCTTATGAAGTAGCAATCGGTCAGTGTAAGGTTTTTCAACTTTTTACATCCTTTTCCAATGGCACACATGCTCCTGCAAGAAGTAGAAAGATAAACAGTAAGCAGACAGATAATTCGTCCCTATTTAGATGTCTTAACAGTTCCAAACCCAGAGCCGAAAACAATAGGAGAAAACAAAGATAGAATAAAGAGACTTATAGATTGCTGGAAGTCAACAGTGCTACAAGCACGTTTAAGTCAAAAGAAATTTAACTCATACCCATGATCTTTCATTGGATTCTAGAAAGTTCATTAGACATATCACATGTCAAAAATAGATAAAAAGAATGAGACCAACATTACACAGCTTCTGATCACAACCCACTAACACTAATCAACAAAATAATCTTTAAATCACCTTATTGGATATTAACAGTTCAATTCTATTGACACTTGATTCCCTGGATACAGCCAATGATCAATCCGGACAACCAATCTACTACCCCAACTTAATAGAAGTATTAAAAACATGACACATTATCAATAGAAAAACAAAAGACCATACAATAAGGAACATACAACAATAGTTTAAGAGAGCATCATGCATAAGCTACTGAAATTGTTGGAATGTCCAACTACGGATTATTCCACTTGATTGATTGGGGAAAATTACCCTTTATAAGAGTAGTTAGATATTGTTGATATCACCAATTGATCTTGGGATGAAACCTAACTTAGGTAGCGACTAGGCCCACCCTTCGATTTGGTGTGCTTCAGCTTTGTGAGACCACATCAACTCCGCCCGAATGCATAAATTTGACATGGTACCAAAGCGCGCTCGATGTGGAGATGTGATAACTTGATTACCAGGCCCTAGGTGGGATCTATGAAACAAGGACTCACAAGTGGTAGGTGTGTTGGAAGGTTCACTTGTGAGTTGTTCCACATTGATTAATTTAGGGAAAAATGAGCCTCATTTATAAGCCTAGTGAGCTAATACTATCAACAATTGGGGTTTTGGTATGGAACCTCACCTAGGGACAACTAGGTATATCCTTTAACTCGGTGCGCTTCCATTGTTGGCCAAGCCCTCCCCAGTCATGAATGTATTTAAATTGTAAAAAATTGACAGAGATCATAGATGTCAAAAAGGGAATACGTGTATAAATTGGAATTTTTGTTTAAGTCGGGATAAGGGAATACGTAACTTGAACAACTTGAAATTACCAGAGGATTAAAAGTAATTCTATTATGCGAATGGAAAGTAAAAACAACAATAATAACAATGTAAACTAACTCCGAAAAGAGAGATGAATAATGACCTATCTGTGATTTTCTGGAAGCTGTACAAAGCCATCAATTCCAATGAGAGACAGAAAACACCAACAGCTTGCAAGGCCTCATTTGTAATATTTAAGCACTGTAGTTTCAAAACTTTTAGACCAGAGCATCCTTTGACCACAGCAAGCAAGCCTTTATCATGAATTGTTTCCGAGTCCAGTGAAAGAGATTCAAGAGATCTACAGTGGGATCCCACAGCTTCTAGTGAGACATCAGTAATTTTAGCACATGCAGCAACACCAAGTGACTTCAGATTCCTTCCGCAACCTCGAGCCAACTCCACCAGTCCTGTGTCAGTCAGCCCTTCACAGAATCGCAAATTCAATTCCTGAAGAGATTTGCAGCATTCTCCTACAGCAGTTAAGCCTTTGTCTCCGATATAACAGCCCTTGGAGAAGAGACGTGAGAGAAAACTTGTTTAGTCATAGTCAGTGCATTAAAGAGCAATCACAACATACTTGCAAGAAAATTTATACCCAGGAAAGGAAACAGGTAACATTTAAGCAACTAGAACAAGAAATGCAAACACACTAGTAATACTAGGGCAGTCACCTGTAAATCCAAAGTTGTAAGAGATCTACATTTCTCAGCCAACGATCTTAACCCTACATCCGATACACTAGAACACCATATAAGGCTCAACTTTTCGAGTTTTACGAAATTGTCTCCAACAGCTGCCAGTGCGGAGTCTGATAAGTAGCTTGCACCCATCACCTCATATTCAGAGACAGTTTGATCAGACCCATGGCAAGACCTGTCAGACGAAGTAGATGCATGACTAACACGACGCCTTTTTCTCTGCATGACAAGAGTTCAGCAAAAAATTAGAAAATAAATCCACAACACTGCATTTAACTCCAATATGTATGGATAGGTTGCATTCACTATCATAAATTGAATTTTATATATTCAAGATTATCGACTCCGGCTCATCCACATATACTGGCAGATGAAAGTTTTGATCAGAAGATAACAAAAGTGCACACCAAACGATATGTTTCAGGGAATACTCGGAATGAAAAAATATAACCATTTCTTATGGAGGCAATATTGATTTGTGTATGAAATAGACAGCCGAGCAAATAAATTCAAAAGCTAGAATCACAAGAAATTCCTGCCTCAATAAAGGAAACAACACATTCACTAGTTAGCTAAAGGATACAACCCCACAAACATCTCAAGAACATCAAAATTCACAAAGATCATCATATCCTGCATCTAACTTCCAAATCCAAAATTCAATTTATTTAAGGAAACTGAAAAAAAGGACAAATTTAACACATCAGATCCACTCACATATTGCACGGGCAGTGGCAGTGGCACTGGCACTGGCACCGTTATCCGCTCGTCAATAGACACGCATAGTATATTAGGAAACCGGCTGCTGAGCAGCTTGACGCATTTGCCGGAGCAAACGGAGGCACCGATGCGGACTGTATCACGGCTGAGCCGGTCGAGGCTGAGCCACCGCTTGCAGACCAGCGAGCAGGCGTCCCGGCTCGTCTTCGACTCGACGTGCCGGAATATTTCTAGAATCAATTCGTCCGGTAGAGCCGAGTTTATCAGATCAATACCCCTCATTTCTCGGCTTTTCTTCCTTTCTTGTCTTCCCTAACGATTTCTGTGCAGAGGCAGACTATAAAATCGAATCACATTAACATGTATATACAGACATGTATGTGTGCGTGCTCGTTTTTGTCGGTAAGTGCAGATTCCAGGTGAGAGGGCAATGGCAATTGGCATATATTTATGAGGGGCAGATTTATGCTCAAGGAGCAATATTGTTACATACAAAATCATATTTTGTGCTCGCAATAATATTAATAACTATTTATATTATAACTATTTATCAAAGTATTATCTGTAATAAAACATATAGAAGGCTAATTCGAGAATACTCCTATGTCTGAGCATTTGGGATTTTAGCAACCATTGTAATTTTATGCAGATTTTTTTTTTCCTAAGTAATTCAAAATAAAATTTTAAAAGACTTCAAGAAATCTTGCACACACAGAAACAAAATAAATAGTATTATATTATTAATTATTGTAATTTAGTTTAACAAAGTCATTACTTTAAAGCAAATGTTATATCATACAAAATCGGTTATAAAAATTTTGATATAATAATTAAGATAATATAACTTTTTTTAATAGCATGCATACATGATTATACTATATCAACTAATTACATTTTTTTTTGTAATAGATTATTATAAACTTATTATGTATATTACATTATACACAATGACAAATTTTTTGTTAATATATTGAATTATCAAACTTTAGTTGCAAATTTTGTCCTATGAATTACATGTTGTTGATTTATTTTTCTTTTAGCTAAGGTTCCTGACATGTCTAATCATTAGATAATTAATTAATTGTACTCATTTCACTATAAAAAAGATAATATAAGCATACTTTAAAAATATAATATAAACATAAATAAGATATTTCATTGTATAAATACACATTTTTGTGAAAAAAGTATTATGAGTCAACACATCTACAGCAAGGCTGTTGTTAGGGACACATAATGGTTAGATAACCAAATTTTCTCAACAAATATGTACCCCGTGCGCATGAGACACATATATTAAATGAGTTATTTTCACATACTCTGTCCGTTTAAGTCTCAAAAGCAATAGGGGTTTCATCTATTTTTCCCCACTTTTAATCAGCGTTAAGTCTAAAAAATAATAGGGTTATAATCTATTTTTCCACCACTTTTAATCAACATTGTTTTTTTAGCCAGAACATTAAATATTATAGCATGTTAGGGCTAGCTAGTAAAATAATTAATATATTATCTCACTACATTTATACTAATATAAATTTGATTTTACTATAAATATTTATTCCTTGAGATAAGAGAAAATAACAGTTTCACTTATTTTTTATTTCCCGGAACGATAGGTGTTTTATAAAAGCACAGAATTCGAAAATAAAATCAACCACAGGCTGAATGATACAACCAACGGCTGAATAAACTAGGAAGCAGATTCGAAAATTGCCCAGAGCCGGACCTAGCAACGCGAGAAAACACAAACACAACACTACAAAACAAAAACTACTACTAACTCCCAAACAGGAGACTAAACGAACCCAAAGGGATATTGTCCGAGATAATCGATCCCAAAAGGATAATACCGTTCTCACTCGAGCAAAAACAGAGGCCAAAAGCCCACACCAAAAACACAAGACCCACAAAACAAAACAAAAAACTACACGAAACAAAACAAGCCCTTCTCAAGAAGCCAGACCAAGCAGAGCCAGCGGAAACCAAGTCGACCCAAAGAAAATCCCACAACCAAAGAGGACCAACCCCGAAACTGCCCAAACCAACTCGATGGCCTAACGAAGTCGAAACTCAAGACTCGAAACATCACCCCAAGTCGGACTCGAACCACAACAACAACACCTGACCTACCATAGAACCGCCACTGCACCGGTCACACCAACACCATTAGTGAGTCCGACAGCACCCGGTGAACTCCCCGAGACTCGGAGCATGAGAACAGGGGGAGAGAGCAAGAAGATGCCGAGACCGCAGCCTCGACCCCCAAACCGCCAAGGTCCACCACCCACCATTGCTCTGACCTGTTCAACACCACTGGCCAGAAGACGGAGCACCGGTCCTCCCTGACCCAACATCAGAGCCGGACCTAGCAACGCGAGAAAACACAAACACAACACTACAAAACAAAAACTACTACTAACTCCCAAACATGAGACTAAATAATTCCAAAGGGATAATGCCCGAGATAATCGATCCCAAAAGGATAATACTGTTCTCACTAGAGCAAAACAGAGGACAAAAGCCCACACCAAAAACACAAGACCTACAAAACAAAACAAAAAACTAAACGAAACAAAACGAAACAAAACAAGCCCTTCCCAAGTGCTAGACCAAGCAGAGCAAACGGAAACCAAATTGACCCAAAGAGAATCCCACAACCAAAGAGGACCAACCCCGAAACTGCTCAAACCAACTCGATGGCCTAACAAAGTCGAAATTCAAGACTCGGAACATCACCCCAAGTTGGACTCGAACCACAACAACAACATCCAACCTACCATAGAACCGCCACTGGACCGAACCCGCTAACACCATTAGTGAGTTCGACAACACTCGGTGAACTCCCCGAGACTCGAAGCATGAGAACAGGGGGAGAGAGCAAGAAGCTGCCGAGACCGCAGCCTCGACCCCCAAACCGCCAAGGTCCACCACCCACCACTACTCTGACCTGTTCAACACCACTGGCCAAAAGACGGAGCACCGGTCCTCCCTGACCCAACGCCATAGTACGGGGGAGGGGGAGGGCGAAAAACCCCGGCGAAGCTCGAGCCGTCCAACACCAACGCTGCCGAACAACCGAGGCACCACCCACCCAACGAAACACATCCCGACCACAAACCACCACTACCCAGGAGGCCGCCGACTTGAGCTCGCGAATCGGCGCCGGAAAGGCGAAGATTGTCCTTGAAAGCCAAAGGCATACCCGAGCGCGACGGACGTGGGAGGTGCGATTAACCGGGCGAAGGTCAAGTAGCCAAGGGCCGACCGCTAGCCTGAGCTCAATTGCCGCTGAGGAGGGAAAAACTGCACAAATCTGAAGGCTACGGCGGAGATCGACGAGGAAGGGAGACGGGGGAGTTAGGGCTACGGCTACTTGTTCACCATATAATACTTAATTATTATTTTATTATAAAATTTGTTGTCATATAATATCATTATTATTTGTAAAAGTTATACAAGTTGTACGTCTTCATTTTCTTTTTATTTTATGTAATGAAAAATATTTAATGCACGTTAGTCTTTTTATTTATGCAATCAATTTAAAGTATGTAAATAAATTTAAAATTAAATAGTGTATAAATGTTTCACAAAATATACACACATGTTTTTTTAGAATTTAATTTTGTATACTAATTAAACAACTTTGATTTAGCAAATGCCAAAAACCCAATCCCTTCAATAATCAAGATTTTTCTAATTTGCATTATAAGGATTCATAGTTTATTTAGCATATTCTGCAATGAAAATATATTACACAATAATTTTATTATAGAAAGAAATCAAAATAAAAAAATTAAAAAGATAATCATGGTTGCCAATAATATACAAATAAATTCTAAAGAACAGTTAATACATTTCAATTTTAATTTTTGACCATTAGTAAAACTATTTAATGTATCTGGTCATTATTTCTTAAATGGTAAATTATATAAATTTAAAGAATATATATATATATATATATATATATATATATATATATATAATAATAATTTATTTTATATATATAACGAAATAAAGCTTAAGAAGAAATTATATTGGCACTAAAAACTAGCCTACGTTGATCAGTTTTGCCTCTGTTTTACGTAGCCCCTCCAATCTCCGAGTTTCACATCCTAGTGAACGGCCGTTGAAGATACGGATTAATTCACCAACTTGATTTCGCCTGATTAATTGGAAGAAAAAATTATACCTAACCTGTTACGATTTTCTATAAATATTTTGGATAAAAAGTGAATATTTGTGAAAAAAAATTAATATTATGATTAGAACTTAAAATATGTTGTAATATTTATTATAATGGATATCAATGAAATTGTTGCAGATATTAATAAAATTATTGAAGGAAACAATATTTTTTATTATATCTGATTATATCTTATTCGATCTTATTTGAAAACATGTATATAAAAGCAATTAATGCATATATTAAAAAAGTTTCTAAAAAAGGTATACATTACATGCTTCCAAAATTTGTTACTACTGCTTTTAGTAAATGGTTATTCTTATTATATAGATATATAGATATAGATTTCAACATGTGTTACTTATATATAATGTCAACAATGATTATTACTTTTTTTTTTATTTATTTCCATAATGAAATTCTTGTAAAATATACTTCCATTGCTTAGTATGTTAAATAGATTATAGTTCCTTATGATGCAAATTAAAAACAATCTATTGATTATAGAAGGGATTTAATTTTTAGTAATTGCTAAATCAGAGTTGTTTAATTATTATAAGAAATTAATTTCTAAGAAATGTGTTTATATTTTATAAAATATTTATACATAATATTTTATTTTAATTTTTTTAAATATTTTAAAATTTACTAATTTAATAAATAATATTAGCATATATTAAATATTTTTTATACCTTTTATAAAAAAAATTATAATGATATTGTATGGCAACAAATTTTATAATAAAATAATAAATTAACTGGTGTATGATGAACAAGAATATTTTGAACTATTATTTTTTCATATCAACTAGTACGTAACCCGTGCGATGCACGGGATGTAAAATTTGGAAGAATAATATAACCTCACGTGCATTAAGATCGAAATTGAAATCATTAAAATACATAGGAACATTGTTGAATCATAAAAAGTTCGGTAACAATCATATATTATTAAAAACCTCCTTGTACATAACATTATGAGTTTGATTATTTGGTAATTCTTCATTATCACAAACTAATATTTTCAAAAGAGACAAATCCTAAAAATCAAACTAATATTTTTGGTGAACAAACTAATATTTTAGGATTTCTAGGATTTGTCTCTTTTTGGTGAACAAACTAATATTCTAGGATTGGTTATATGAGTAAGGCTACCTGTTTTTTGTGTTCTTTTCATTCATTTTCATTCAAACAATCCGATTACTTGTATAATAAAATCCGAATCTTAAGCCGAAATATTTAAAAAAAAAAGAGTTTTTAAAAATTGAAAAGTCAAGGCAATCAGTTCAGATTAATTAAAGG